TTATAAACACGTAAAAACAGCAGTGTGTGATCAGATTGCAACGAGCTTAGCCAGACTTTAGCTCGTTGCATTGTGAAGTAGCTATGGTTCTTTTAGCGGTTTTATTTGCTGTCGTTCTTGGACTACACGGAGTCCTCGCTGAGGACGGTGCGTTGTATTTTTTTCAACCTAGCTATTATTGTTCATCGTTCTCCCTGCAGACTGTGTTCGCAGTATACGTGACTATGACGAACAAGACTATCAAGCACTAACAGCAGACCCCTGGAAAACCTCTGGATTCTATAGTTATATACTGCCATGTGGAGGCATTGTCACTTCTGTCGAGGCTCGCGGGCTTTGTCGCAGACCCGACAATGTTGAAATGCAATTGATAGCGGGTGCAACAGCAGAACGTGGTGTTGGTGATCTGACTTATACATCATTAGTTGCAAAGTGCAATAAAACCGCGAAGGTTGGAAATAATTACGAAGGTTACGTCAGCGCCACTGGTCTAGAGATCCGTGTCCCTCGTGATGGTGTTCTGGTGGTGCACTTGAACCCAGATTGCTCAGGGGAAAAGTGTTTCTTTCAGCCAGCAGTTATAAATGAAACCAGTCACTACGATGTAGCTCTTGGTGATAGCCACCTTGCATGGTCTCGTCCAAATATATCTCTCTCCTTCTCTGCAAACATTACAGTAATTTTACCATAATAATAATAAGATACAAATAACGACTTATGGTCTCTACAAACAGAGTTACCAGAGTTGCCAGATGAGAATAAGAAGAAGTGAAAGTAGTAATCTACACTCATATAATTGGTGTCTCTGTTTCTGCTGCTGTGGCAAACATCAGGAATTGTACTCTTTCAACAAAAGGTTGGTCAAAAAGAAGAACCACAGCAAAGTTTACGCATATTACATTATGCAGGTATGGGTCAAAAATCTCTTGCAAGTGGTGAAGTCCCAACTTCAACCAACATATTGGAGGGGAAAGATAAAAAAGAAAAAAGGGCAATGAGTTGTTGAAGATCTCTAATGGAGACCCCTCCTCCTCCTTCTGCTAAACCAGAGGAGATAGTATGAGGTTGCTTTCCCCTGCCCAGCAGCAGGCCTTCTCCCCACAAATCCCTTCCCTCTGTCTGGTGGAAAGAGGAGGAGGACGTACACTGCTGTCTATGAGTTCATTCCTGGATATACTGACTCGTTCTAAGTTTGAATAATGACTACCTAAGATAATAAGCATATATATATGTGTATAGTTGAGTTTGTACTTCCACTGTAAGTTGGTGCATCAAACCAGTACATTTGCAATTGACCAAACAGTTTAGTGTCACACATGTGTGTATTTTGCTAGCATTACAAACAACAGTGCAGTGAGTCAAAGGTAGACGAGACATTTGTAACAGACAAACAAATTTAACGTTTTGAAGTCAGTGAAAAGTTCCTCTCCAGGCCTCCAGGGAGCTCCATTTCTGGCCTCTTCCAGTGTAGGCAGACACATCTTCTGCCGTCCATGTCAGCAACTTGAAGTCTGGATGCATTGAATCTCAGGGAAGGTGGGTGCCTGATAGAAACATAGGGTGTCTGATAAGAAATTTAGTATGTGCCTTTCTTATACAAAGCAATACCAGAGCAGCTATGGCATAAACCTATGTATTACACCTGACGCACTGTTTTTTTAATTAACAGTCATCAGAAAGTAGCAGGGTGAAGCTCCCAGAAACTATATTTCATACATGAGAACTCCAAAGCTCCACACGTCACTGGCAGTCGAGTACTTCTTGTAGTGGAGAGCCTCTGGAGCTGTCCATTTCACAGGGATTTTCCCTCCACGAGAGACATAGTAGTCAGTGTCTTGGAGAGCTCGAGACATGCCAAAGTCAGCAATCAGAGTGGGGGAGATTTTGCAATAAACATCAATCGAGTGGCAATGATACACCTCAAGCCTCAGCTGAGGGACTCTATGAGTTCAGCAGAGACAATGATGTGCCATTCTGGGAGCCAGCCAGTGTGGAAGAAGAGCTCAAGAAGCACACACACAGCTCATAGAATAGCTACACCATCTCACCTGATGGCCTCACGCGAGGAAAAGCATAGTATTTCATATCCATGTAGACATCCTCCTTGTATATACTATATAGTTAAAGTTGCACGCGAGTGTTACATGAACTTTCCCCAAGCCCAATAATTTCCACAGAGTACGAACAAAGACGGTACCTTAACTGGTTTGTAGTCCTTTGCCAAACTGTTCTCTAACCACCCCACCTAACCACTGTCTATGTTAGCTATCATAACTGATAGCTTACAACAGCACTGTGTATACCTTATTTCCTTTGATGTTGTAAGGCTTCAGACTGCAACATACATTAAGAGTCTCAGTTGGTCTAACACAACACCATCGAATTATAATTGTTAACCCTTGGCGCACATGGGCAACGAGGGTTACTGTACTGTGTGTGTGAGTTGTCATTTTCTGCCACTAGGCGCAACAAGACCGCCAAAAGTCCATGCCAACAAGTTAGGCACTACATTAGTGTGATTTTAATGTCATGTGCAGTGATGTTTAAATGTAAGCATTTTGAATGTCAGTGTAGAGTTCCTCTCCAGCCTCCAGGGGAGCTCCCAGTGTTCTGGCCTCTTCAGTGTAGGCAGCCACATCCTCTGCCATCCATGTCAGCAACTTCAAGTCTGGACGCTGGAGCACTGTTTGGATGTCGGAGAATGTGGGCCTGGACTCTGGCTCCGGGTTCCTTTCACAGACAAACTCATTTAACCACACACTTTACGTCAGTCTTACCAGCAGTTGATCATAGTCTGATAGACAGCTCTAGGACATCCAGGTGGGGGGGAGGCGATATCCTGACTGGATCTTCTCATAAACCTATGAAGTAACAACAGTGTTGATGATTGAGGACAAAAACTATATTCCTCTGTATTTGACATCTGATGGTATGGCTTGATGCCCATTGTCCATATCTCGTAGAGGATAATTCCAAAGCTCCACACATCACTGGCAGTCGAGTACTTCTTGTAGTGGAGAGCCTCTGGAGATGTCCATTTCACAGGGATTTTCCCTCCACGAGAGACATAGTAGTCAGTGTCTTGCAGAGCTCTGGACATGCCAAAGTCAGCAATCTGGAAGGAGGGAGAGGTATAGGGTTTTATGGCAAGCAATAAACATCAAGACAGACCTTGCACATTTCCTCATGAGACACCAGTATGTTCCTGGCTGCCAGGTCTCTGTGTATGAACCCCTTCCCAGACAAGTAGGCCATTCCTGAGGCAATCTGACGACAGAAACTCAGCAGTAGTGCAGCAGTGTTTGCAGGCACACTCTCAGAGTCATCTCTGTGGTAATACAAGTGTAATGTTTATGTACATGGCTGAAATTATTCATACATAGGCTTAAATGAACAAAGATGTGTTAGAAGGTCGCCGATCTTCATCAGTTCAACAACAATCATTATCTGTTCAAAACATCATAGGATAACATAACACAAGTCTTAGAGAGAAAAGACAACCCAACTTGTTTGCTGTCCAGAAGAATCCTACCGTACTTAGTGATAATGCTGTTTGGTCAACAAGTGGCCACAAAATATGATGTGGCTATCTTTACTGGGATTCATTCTGACATTTTATAGGGCTTAGATACTGATTATGGCTCTTCTTCCTATGTGAGAAAAATTCCTTGCATTTGGTGTTGTCCAAAAGCTTACGTCGTTGGCTTTAGCAGATAAAGTGTGTCCAAAGTAAGGAGGACAGGAGTATGTTTTCAGGTTAGCAGGAAGTTTCCTCGACTTGACCATCCTCCGCTTGACGAGGATAGCCACCACCACTGAACACAACACCAAGAACAAAAGAACGATTATCACTGTGGCTACTGCAACCCTAGCTCTATTATCAGCCTCCGTCTCATCATCTGCATAATGCATAAAATAATCCAACAATGTACCATCTTTTCTTTAGGCATACCAGGAATAAAGGTGATGGAAAAGAGGAGACACTTTTTGAGAGCGTGAGCTTCTCGACTCTTTGGTAAAACAAATAAAAGATCTTTACTTCCATTTATAGCCGCTGGCTGAAAGAAGCAGACTCCTTCAGAGCAATTAGGGCTGATTTTCACACCCAGATAGCCCCCATCCGGCACTCTGATACTAATATCATCATGTCTTGCATATCCCTCATAATAAACAGATCCTTTTATAGGAGAAGATTAATTGCACTCGGCTGTCAAGTTAAGTATGCCATATAAGCAGGTTTAATTCCGCCTTCATAAAGTTTTGTAGAGTTGAGAATTTGCATTATGACAGTTGCGTTTTCAGGGGGACTGGGACAGAGTCCACGAGCCCTAATGGATGTAGCAGTGCCTGTGCCTACTGATTTGTAGAAGAAGAATCCGTGCTGGGGGTCTGGCGCGTACCAGTCACCGTCGGCAGTCCAATTGTCCCCAATACTGCAATCTGAGACGAGAGGCATCAGCAGGTCATAATGACAAGGGTACACACCCACAAGTAAGCTACCACCTCCTTTAGCGTTCTGACAAAGACTGCACATAACAATGCGCTATAGCTTGCATCGTGGGATGATTCGCGGTTTGTTCGACAATCTCTCCCGCGCGCCCATGTCCTCAACTATTATTGCAGCACTGTCGACCAGCAGTTTATATAGCTACACACGGAGGTAGATGTCTACGCTCTACCAAAGCAACAGGTCTGGTTAAAAAAACATCTCCAACACCCACGATAATCATAGCATTTGTTTACCTTCTGACATCAAGACGTTTAACTGGCCCATGCAACGTTTTCTGCAGAAATGAAATACATTTCCCAACAATCTCTTAAGACTAGGCTAATAGTTAATCTGCCAATAAATTATTGTAATTATATACAAGGGCTTAGCTACATTTCTCCTGTGTGGAGCCATATGCCAGTGACTTGAACGCACACACGCACACTCCACACTCCCCTCCTCACCACACCAAACTCACCACCCACAGGAGATTCACTGGCTGCCTCCCAGAATGTGTCATCTCCCCCACACCCCTTTAAAACGTAATAACTATTTGTGAGTTGGTATAATATAGTGCTTTTTCAGTATTAATGGTAACCCAATTATGCTCTCTTTGATGCATGCTTTAAACTGAGTCCTTATTATGCCTATATAGAAGATTTTGCATTAAAAAAACACACAATGCTAATGGTCATGAAAGGTGTATGTGTGTGTATAGTGCTGGTCAAATATATGTTTTCTGAATGTCAGTGTAGAGTTCCTCTGCAGCCTCCAGGGGACCTCCCAGTGTTCTGGCCTCTTCAGTGTAGGCAGCCACATCCTCTGCCGTCCATGTCAGCAACTTGAAGTCTGGACGCTGGAGCTCCACTTGAACCTCAGGGAAGGTCGGTCTTGACTCGGGCTCAGTGCTCCTATATAAACGTGGGAAATTGACACACATTCACGGGTATTATACTAGATAAGGAAAACATACCAGCAGTTGATCATGGTCTGATAGACAGCTCTAGGACATCCAGGTGGGGGAGGGAGACGATATCCTGACTGGATCTTATCGTACACCTACCAAATACAATCCCCAGCACACAGGTACATACGTACTTTTGAACTTTTATTATTACCTCTTTGTTTGATATAGTACGATATGGCTTAATGCCCATTGTCCATATCTCGTAGAGGACAACTCCAAAGCTCCACACGTCACTGGCAGTCGAGTACTTCTTGTAGTGGAGAGCCTCTGGAGCCGACCATTTCACAGGGATTTTCCCTCCACGAGAGACATAGTAGTCAGTGTCTTTCAGAGCTCGAGACATGCCAAAGTCACCAATCTTAAATTTAACAAGCAACAGTTACTTACTTAAGTATTATACAAGTAAGTCCGTTTATTTACTTTGCAGACTTCATCTTTAGACACGAGGATATTTCTGGCAGCCAGGTCTCTGTGGACGAAACCTTTCCCTGAGAGGTAGGCCATCCCTGAGGCTATGTGGCGACAGAAACTCATGAGCAGTGCAGGTGTGTGAGCTGGCAGTGACTCTGATGTGTCCCTGTGATAACACCAGACAGTGAAAAGTGGAAGAATGCTAGTGTACTTACGAAGGCTTTAGTGAGTGTAAGTACTCCCGAAGATCACCAATGTGCATCATCTCCAATACTATCATCATCTGGAATGAAAACAAACAGTTTACTATACTACCTCCCTTTCAATGACATTGTCTAACTGGGTCACGGTGTAGGAGAACCCCATGGAGAGAGATGACATTGGGATGTTTGAACTGGCCCATGATGGCTGCCTCCTGCAGGAACTGAATACGTTTCTCCTCTGTGGAGCCATCTGCCAGTGACTTGACAGCCACCTCCCTCTCCTCTACCCCCCACACTCCACACTCCCCTCCTCACCACACCAAACTCACCACTACCCAGCTCACTGGAAAGACTGTGAGTGAGAGAAACAATGCGGGTTTTTGTGTAAGACAAACTGTCCCCATATGAGACCCTTAATGTCTACAAGAGGAAAATGAGAAGGAAGTGCAGGAATGTTAGCTACCAGTGTGGTAATCAATATGAAACAAGAGCTTACTCAGTTAGTCACACCTTACAGGGAAATTGAGCACTGTGTCTTAATATGCAAGTATTATACTTGTGGAACCTAGTTATGAACAGACCATAATAATAGCACCTGACGCAGAAATAACCACGTTAGATGGTTTTAACCATAGCACAGGGAGGTTATCATGTAATTCTACCCTCGTGTGGTATTATCCAAACAGAAACCCGTAAGGCTTAAGTTACAATATTTGGAGATGAAAACAAAGCAGTGTGTGTTGCACAGGGGTGTACTGTACTATGCTGAAGAGACCTTTCCGTAGTTCAGTCATAAAAGTGCTCTCATAGAACAGTGATATTATGTCTGCAGACACTAAACCTGGGGAAGCGAGATTAAATGTGTCCGGTTAGGTACATCATGATCTATTGGACACAGCTATAGTATGTAGCTAACCAATAGACTTACAATAACAGTAAATTGTGCTGAACTATAATACATTTGGCAGTATAGGCTAACTCCACAGACAATTTTGGAATTCATTAGTAGTAAGCATTATTCACAGATTGTGCCATTAGCTGTATATTAGCCACTGTCATGGTTGTGGACAATGGCAAAAGAGTATATACTGTCCACATGTATTAGTAACACCATCACGTGCTTGGTTTCATGTTTGTATAAACAGCCTCGTTTCTAGATAGCTAGCTAGTGGCCACACTCACGAGAGTGTGTCATGTGACAGACTGAGGTCCTGGAGCTGGCTCTTGAGGTCATCCTCAACACTGGCTGGCTCCCAGAACGGCTCGTCGCTGCTCATTCCGTCCGTTTCATAGTGTCCGTCTGATAGTTCTGGTAGTTGTGGGAGATTGAAGTCACTCTGCTCCTCACGGGCATAGTCATAGGTTACTGAATCCTTGCGTTCCTGAAAAACCACAGAGTAAGTACAAATTTGCAGATTTGAACTCTAAAATTATCATGGCAGCCCGTGTCAAAACCTCTTACGCTATAATGTTTCAGAGGAAAAAATTATACCTTCTGTTTAGTTTGTATTGCAGTAGAGTCCTGCTGTCCCCCACTTTCAGTTGACTCCACAGAATACACATTGTTATTCAAATCCTATTAGATGTAAACACACGCACGTTGAGATGGTGGTGGTAATAACACTCTATCAGATGTCTCTATACCTCAACCCCTTGTGGATTTGATTGAAATACATTCGTTACAGATGCCTTGTGCTTCCTCCATCTGTAAAACTTGTGCAGGATCACAGAAGAGATGACAAGCAGTAGGAGCACAGTCAAGGCTGAGAGAGCAACAGCAACGGCTACCAGCAACGTTTCATTAGATGAAGAGTCAGGGGTAGATGGGGTGTCACATTTGCCTGCTGTTTATAAGAACTAGCACTAGTATAGCTGCGCATAGAGCTACATAATTATTTGTTTTACCTGCCTGAAAAGTGAAAGAGAATTGAAGGCCTACACTTTCACTGCCATCAGTGTTGATGGGGAAATTTCTGAAGTTATTATTGCTCGAATTCAGGTATAAAAACTGCTCATCAATATTATCTCTGTCAACTGTCGCTGGTCTGCATGAACATCTGTTTGCCATGTCTTCTGGACTGCATTGAGCATTGAACAGTATTCCAATGAATTGTCCAGCTTTAACAGAGAGCTTCACATTCGATTGAACGTTACAAATAACGGAATCTTCCGAGGATTCATCAGTACAGTCGGCTGGTAGTGTGACAGTATCGATCCTTCTCCGGTTCTGAGCTTCGTATAATCCCAGGCGCATTTCAAATCGTTGACCGCCTGTTCTGTTAACTAATATGCAGTACCCGCTGGCGCTGACACCAACAACAGTCCCATTGTAGTCAATGGGATCTCGCAGAAGAAAGAGTCCCGACTCGTACTTTGACTCTTGTTCAACCCGGAGCATCTCCAATCGGCTAACATTATGGTCGCTCTCACCACATGACTGTACTGTATGCGTATGGGTAGAAATTACGATTTTTGATACAGTTATTGTTGGCTTAGCTAGCTAGGTATAAGTAAACATAGAAAGTCGGCTAGCTATTTTTAAGGCCTACCATCACACGGCGACAATGTCCCGTTTGCGTTGATACTCAGCGGTATTGATTCCACTTTACACAAGGAGAGGGCTAAGGCAATGATAGAAGTTGCTTTCGGGCACATCTTACTCGATCATCATCTGTACTCTGCACATCGATCATCGATCAGTGTAGCTATAGTAACAGAGCGTGGGCGAGAATATGCGCGCATGCGCAGTGCATCATTGCGTAGCGCGCTGTAGACATGAACCGCCAAGGGTTCCTGATTTACTCTCCACCACATAATAGTTACTCACAATTGCAAGTATATACGAAAGTTTAGACCACCTATTTCAGGTAGTGAACCACCTGTAATAGTTATAAGCCCTGCTGATCATCAAAGCCAGCAAAAATGTTCATGACGAAAACTGTGTGGGGTGATCTTATATAATATATGTCTTTTGAATGTCAATGTAGAGTTCCTCTCCAGCTTCCAGGGGAGCTCCCAGTGTTTTGGTCTCTTCAGTGTAGGCAGCCACATCCTCTGCCGTCCATGTCAGCAACTTGAAGTCTGGACGCTGGAGCTCCACTTGAATCTCAGGGAAAGTGGGTCTGGAATCTGACTCTGGGTTCCTTGTGAATAAGGAATTTCCTCATATTGACACACATTCACAACTAAAGACCTACCAGCAGTTGATCATGGTCTGATATACAGCTCTAGGACATCCAGGTGGGGGAGGGAGACGATGTCCCGACAGGACCTTCTGGTACACCTACGAATCATACACAATGTGTCATACTATTGAATGACCAAAGGAAATTCTTTTTTACCTCATTGTTTGTTATAGTGCTATATGGCTTGATGCCTAGTGTCCATATCTCATAGAGGAGAACTCCAAAGCTCCACACGTCACTGGCAGTTGAGTACTTCTTGTAGTGGAGAGCCTCTGGAGCTGACCATTTCACAGGGATTTTCCCTCCACGAGAGACATAGTAGTCAGTGTCTTTCAGAGCTCGAGACATGCCAAAGTCAGCAATCTTTGAAAACGGCAGGTAATACACACTAATGAGTAAGCTTGATTTCACTGTACATGTTTAGCACGAAAATCAAGACAAAGCTCATCATCTACCCATGTATTTACTTTGCAGACTTCATCTTTAGACACGAGGATATTTCTGGCAGCCAGGTCTCTGTGGACAAAACCTTTCCCTGAGAGGTAGGCCATCCCCGAGGCTATGTGGCGACAGAAACTCATGAGCAGTGCAGGTGTGTGAGCTGCCAGTGACTCTGAGGTGTCCCTGTGATAACACCAGACAGTGGAAAGTGGAAGAATGCTTGGGAATCATGGTGTACTTACGAAGGCTTTAGTGAGTGTAAGTACTCCCGAAGATCACCAATGTGCATCATCTCCAATACTATCATCATCTGGAACGAAAACAAACAGTTTACTATATATACTGTTCGAGATTGACTAACTGAGGAGCAGTCCAGAAGAATCCCATGGAGAGAGATGACATTGGGATGTTTGAACTGGCCCATGATGGCTGCCTCCTGCAGGAACTGAATACGCTTCTCCTCTGTGGAGCCATCTGCCAGTGACTTGACAGCCACCTCCCTCTCCTCTCCCCCCACACTCCACACTCCCCTCCTCACCACACCAAACTCACCACTACCCAGCTCACTGGAAAGACTGTGAGTTACCAAAATAACGGTTGTCAAACTGTCACCATATATGATCCTTAACGTTTATATTAAGGAAGGTGCAGGAATGGAAACAATGCGGAATTGAAAACGCACTAGGAGCCTGCTAAGTATGATGCCACACACCCTTCTGGGTAGGTAGGAAATAGTTAGAGCAAAAGTGTACAATGCTCAGTTGTTATGGGAAACTGGGCAACACAAATGTTGGCCTACACCAAACAAGCATGACAAATACCTCATATTCATGTTGTGACTAGTAACTTTACTCTTTATATACTCATAAATGTTTTTGAGTTATACACTAGTATATAACAACGAAGCTGCTTTCATGCTCAATTGAGAAAGTTATGTCAAAACATTCCCCATCTCCCACGGGGGACACTGGTACATTTCTCAGATAGCTGGTGGCCACACTCACGAGAGGGTGTCCTGTGACAGACTGAGGTCCTGGAGCTGGCTCTTGAGGTCATCCTCAACACCGGCTGGCTCCCAGAACGGCATGTCCCCACTCCTAGTATCAAACTCATAGTGTCCGTCTGGCAGTGGAAAGCCACTCTGCTCCTCACGGGCATAGTCATAGGTCAACAAATCCTTGGGTTCCTGAAAATTTTCCGAGTACAACACTATACACGTATGAGTAAGTACACATTGGGACCCTAAATATCCTCATGAGCATAGTCATACATATAGGTCACATGAATCCTTGTGTTCCTAAATTTTGACTATACATGCTCACGCTGGGATCCTAAATTCCTAAAGAGTGCAGTTTTCAAACAGCGTAAGCAGGGGCACGGATATAATAATATAGCTGAGACTCAGACTCCTTGCAGTTCCTGATAACGTTACTGAATACACAGTATAATACATAGACACCGGAATTCCCTAGTAATGTTTTCAGGTAGCAGCTAATAATATACAAGGGTTTTAGGTGTGTAAATGTGAGCTTTGGAAATTCCCCGGTACAGCTAATGTGTACAAAGGTAGTGTGAGTGTGTAAGCGCTGGCACAGACACTAAAGTTATGCAGTACATACCTGAGGCCTTGGGATTTACCATACAGGAATTGGGGAAATTACACACTTCCTTGTGCTCTTCCTCTTCCCAAGAGTTCACCACCTACAGAGCTACAACTTCACTGACAAAGGAAGGTTGGGGGCGAGTTGAAAGGCTAAAGTCAGTAGTGGGGACACCGGTGTATTATAGCTTCCAGTGGAGCATAGTAATACGCAAGGTCTCACCTACTCAATACTTCATGTAGCAACTTACAACTTTTACCCACCAAGTCCAATACCTTTATTGCAGACTAAAGTTGCCCCTACAGCTACCAGTAAGCAAGGTCACACCCACAAACTCAGTATAATACAACTCTCACCCATCAAGTCAATACTTTTAAAGCCCATTACCCCATGTAGCTTCCAGTTTGAAAGGTTGGTCTCACCCACCAACTCCATACAACTCTCACCCATCAACAATGAATACTTTTATGCAACAACATACAACTCTCTGGATAACACAGTTGAGAGTAAAAGCTAACCTTTTGTTTTATTAGTGTTGAAACAGAGTCTTGGTCCACATCACCTGACTCTAAGAAATACACCTTATTCGCCAGCTGCTGTTTATGCTTTGTAGCGCTGTGCCCTACTAGACTGGTTTGCTTTTTCTTCCTTGATCTGTAGAACTTGTGTAGGAACGCGGCAGAAATGGCGACGAGGAGGAAGAGGATCACTGCAGAGAGTCCAGCTATGATTGCTGCAAGGAGTGTAACGTTGTCATCATTGGATTGAGAATCGGACCCAGGGCTCTCGGTTGAACATCCGTCTGTTTTGAAAAAAGAAGAGGTTGGTTCTGTGTCATCAAACACGGCTACCTGTATATCTAGCCTCACCTGTCATAACAGTGAATGAGATTTGGAGGCCAACATTTCCGACGAAGTCAAAGTTATCCAATGATGTACTGCCTTTCATGCTGCTAATGTTACTATAGGTATACTGCTCTGTGCCAGTGTCTAGTGTTGCTGGTCTGCATGAGCATCTGTTTTTTCCCCCTGATGATGTACTGCATCTAGGATTGAAGAGTATACCAATGGAGCTGTTGGCCGGAACAGATATATTTGTATCCAACTGCACACGACAAAGAATTGTCTCTGTATCATTGGTAGAACTGTCACACTCTGCCGATACTTCTTTAACTTCGACCCTTCTCTGACCCTCGTAAATTGCAAGAAGTAGATGGAAGGGCTGTTCAGTTCTTTCATTAACTGTACAGTACCCGCTGGCATTGACTTCAACTATTGTCAAGCCGAAATCAACGGGTTCCTGGATAATAAACATCCCGGTCGAGCCGTACTCAGACTCTTCTTCTTCCCGGAGCATCTGCAATCGTGTAACATTGTGCTCGCTCTCACCACGCGTCTGAATTTCTGTGGGAACAAAGTGCTCATGCACAAGTGTACCACTCACACATTGTGGCCCCAGTCATAGTTATTACACCCTTAATTTATGCGCGCCCTCTAGTATAAACCAGCAACGTAATAGCAAGTGTTTGCCACCCACATAGCTATAGCCATTCTTTACACCCAGATATAACATTCTTCACACCAACACCCAGATATATAGCACTCTTCACACCTCGTTAACAATGGCAACCATCTGGCACCAGGCTATAATAGCTAGGCGGTATAGACGACATACCACACGGTCCTGTCTCGTTCGCAGTGATATTCAGCGCAGATCCGCCGGTGGTACACACTACTGAGAGGGTCAGGAGAGCGACGAAAACTGCCTCCGAACACGTTCGTCCGTGCATAGCTCTGGAATACTATTTGGCTCAAAACTAACCAACCTTCGCTTGCATTGTTCGGCTTTAGCTATATAGGGAGAGGCACTTTCAACGCGCGAGCAGCGCGGATCGGACGCGACGATCGACGAGCCTACAGCACGTGCGAGGGGAGGGGCACGCAATGCGTACGTACGTACGTACGTGTGTATATACGTACGCGCACACGAGGCCGCAGCTACATAGCTATAGAGCTAGGAGATGTCAGCCTCGTACAATACATGTGCCGAACAAACGTTTTTGCTTGACAAATGCATCCTTTTTCATACACGTTTGAATAAGCGAATGGCTGAAAGTTTTGACGACGTGAATTATGACGATATGAACAGATTGATGGTGATTGAACTGTCACTCAGTACTGAGCTTGTGTCTCTTCTTAGCGGTGTTCATGAACGGTCTGAGTCTCCATTCTACGTCCACCTCAGCCTGGTCCACTGTCCCCAGCTTTATCTCATACACTGCAGGTATATACGAGGAGGAAGAGGAGGAGGAGGACTTGTTAATGCAACCCACAATGGTAGCTATTGGCACAAGGTTCTAAAACAGATCCGGTCATAATAGCAGAATGCATGTGATGCCCCCCGCTACCCCAGGGCACTGTGGAATATGAAAAATTTGCATGAATTTTTGTTTTCAATTTCGGGTTCTTTGCCAAGAAAATGTGTAAGCTACACAAATGGGGTCCCTATACACTTGGCATATAATATAGTTGTGAGAACATTATTATGGAGGGCACCGTACAAACTAGAGACATACACTTCATTTCAAATCTTGGACCAACTTCCTTCAGTTCCACATCTTTAGCACCACTCTTCTTGTACACATGATGTCTGCATAGAAAGCAGAGTGTGATCAACAATAATTGGTAGTGGTGGGTCACCTGAAAGAGATGTAGTCTTCTCTGTTGGCAAATGTGATGATTCTCTTACTGTCAGTCTTGGTGCACAGGGAACAAGTATTTGAGAATACTCTGCACCTATATATAACAACAAAAACACCCGTAACGCAGACCCATGCAAGCACACATGGATAACAACATACATAAGCCGGTTTTAAAAGTAAACCACATAAAACTGGGAGATTATAAGGAGAAAAACCATTAGGAGTACCAGTGTATGTGGATATTATTCATCAGCTCTGCATGAAAACCATGCTGTAAAATCACATGTATGTGCAGTAGACTTGAGGCCTGCTTTCAAAACTGCACTGGAATATTATTACATATTGTGCTCTGCCTATACTACAGAGTGTCACTGGTTGAAATCCAGCCAAGGGGGGTAGGTTTCTTCTTGCATGCACTACACTGATAATGTGGGTGTTATTACATAACTGTGTGCATAGCTGCCCACTACAAAGGTCACTACTACTCCAAGTGGTTAGAATAAGATGTCAGCCTCAGGTAAGGCCCAAAGGCCAATGTGTATCTTGTCTGATCTTGTCACAACAAAGTGGTTGCTTCTTTGCTGTGGAAGGGGGTGCTTGAGGGTGTCTTGGAGGTATATAAGTGTATCTGTGTGTGCATGAACAAAATACACCATGTGATGCCAAGAGAAAAAAGATGGGGCTCTGGACAGCTGGGGCTTGTTGGCCCTCATCAGCAGAGCATACCACAACTTCTCTCTCTGGCACCATATAAAGGCTAAGTTGAGCTCAGCACTTGTAGTTTTGAACTAATGAGATTCATCCCCACAAGACTTTGCATGCACATGTCTTATCAGTTCACATACATGCTCTAGGTGTGGCTAGTCGATAGCATGAGTTACGTTAGAGTTACGTAATCGTTTAGAAGGTTCTAAGGATTCACATACATGCTCTAGGTGTGGCTAGTCGATAGCATGAGTTACGTAAGCGTTTAGAAGGTTCTAAGGATTCACATACATGCTCTAGTCGATAGCATGAGTTATGTAATCGTTTAGAGGTTCTAAGGATGTGGTTGTAGTAGTTTGTGTATGTGTGAGTATGTGATTGGACATGGTGTCATCGATTGAGTGCAGGTTGTGTTTAAACCTGTATCTGTCTGCATGTGTTTCCATCAATGCAGTATTATACTGCCAGTTTTAAGCCCTCCGCATCTCGCATAATTTTTGTTATGGCAGTTTGTCTCGTTTTGAGTCCTTTTTTTAAAAATTGTGACAGTACCATTTGACCACACACCTCAGAGTGTGTGTTCACTGTACAGTTCATCCTAGTTCCACGTACATGTACTCCTTTACAAGCAGTAGTCCCACCTCAGTGGTAGTATGGTACGACTTGTGACCTACACGACGATCTGCGCTGAGGAGCTCCCCTGGTGACTGGTGCATTAGGTATAAACGACAGACAAACTGGACAGCAGGGAGGTCCATCCAGTTGGTGGGTGTGGGACGGCAGTATAGAAACTACCAATTAGTGTACTATGGAAAGCCACCCAATCCTTGGCACTTTTCCATCTTTCTCTTCACACAGACACACACACACACACACACACACACGGACACGCACACACACAGACCCTGAGTCCGAGAGTGGTCTTGAAGTTGTGGAAGATGAGGTGGGGGAAGGCCTCTGACATGGTCCCCACCTCGGGAAGATCGTGTCTCATGACGGTGTTGGACAGAGAGAAGGAGGCTGTGGGCCCGTGCGGGAGGTGGCACACCACCAGGCCATCTGTGGGGTGACAGCAGAGCAAACAGAGTGTGACACGTGTATACACCGTAGTGTGTTTATTCTGGACGTTTTCCATTCTCGGAAAGAAAAAAAAAATAGGGAATGAAGGGAAACACAAGACAAATAAAGCAAAGAGGGAAAGGCACGCAAGAAAGAAAGGGAGGGCATGGGGATGCCGGAAGAGAAAGTGCACAGCGGGGGGGGGGAAGCGGGGAAAGGAGGCGGGCGTTGCGTGGGGCAAAAGGGGGAGGAAAGGGGGACAGGAAAAAAGGAAAAGACGAAAGAATAAGGGCACGGGAAAAAAATGGGGGGGAAGCAGAAGGCAAACGCGGGAGAGACGGGACAAGCAACGAGGGGGCGACGGCGGAAGGGTGCACAAACAGGGGGAGGCAGACAGGACAGAAGCCGGGAAAGGACGGAGGGGGCGACAGACAGACAGGGGGGGTGCCGCAGAAGAGTAAGAGAGAGAGGAAAAGAAAGAGGAGCAGGGCCAGACGAGGCAAACCAGGGAGAGGAGAAACGGGAAGAGGGCAGGGAAAGTGGAGAGCGAACAGCAGAGGGGTAGGGGGGGGGAGAGCAGAGAAAGGTAAGGAGGGACAAGAGGACAGGAGCAGACAAGGGGAGGGAAAGAGGCAGGGAGGGGGAAGGGGAGAGCAGGAGAAAGGAGCAGAAACGGGAGAGGGCACAGGGGGTAGGGGACAGGAGAGGGGCAGGAGAAGGAGGGCAGCGGGGGGAGGAGGAACAACAGGAGAGGGAGGGAGAGGAGGTGGAGGAAGGGTATAGAAGGCAGGAGCAGACCAGGGGAAGGGGGGCGGAGGGAGGACAGGCAGGGGGCAGGGGGAGGCCAGGACGAAGGAACAATGGAAGCAAGAGATGGACAAGAGTAGAGAGAGAAGGAGAAGGGGAGGAGAGAGCAGAAGGGAGCAAGGCAGAGAGAGGCAGAAGGATGAGGAGGAGTGCAGTGGGGAGGGGGAAGGGCAGGCAGGAGTGAAAAGGAAAGGTAGGGAAAGAAGGGGGGGAGAGGAGAGAGGGCAAAGAGCAAAGCAGAAGGAGTTGGAACAAGGGGGATAGGAGAATGAAGGAAAACAGGGAGGGGGGACAGGATGGAGCAGGAATAGACAAGGTATAAGCAGAGGGGGGGCAAGGACAGAGAAAGGAGATAAGGGAACAGAAGGGGAGAGAGGAGAGAGGGCGATGGGAGGGAAGCAGGAGACAGGCGAAGGTGAGGAGGGGGGGAACAGGACAGAGAGGAGGAAGGGACAAGAAGGGGAGAGAAACGGGAGGGGGGAGGGCAGTTGGAGGAAGGGGGGGAGCAAAAGGGCAGGGGGAAGAGAAAGAACGGGAGAGAGGAAGAGCAGGCCAGGAGGCAGGGAAGGGCAGAGAGGAGGAAGAGAGAAACGGGGGCGGAGGTAACAGAAGGAAGAAGATGCAGGGGAAAAAGAAGGGGAAACAGGAGGGGAGCAGAAAGGACGACATGGAAGAGAAGCAAGGGAACGGGCAGGGAAGATTGAGGACAGAGGGGGGCAGGGAGAGGAGGGGAGCAGGAGAAAAGGCAGGAAGAGGAACAGAGAGAGGAGTAAAGGGAGAGCAGACAGAGGACGCCGAGAGAAGAGGAAAGAGGGCGATTAGGAGAGGAGATAAGGCGGACTGGGGGTAGGAAAGGTAAGCCACAAAGGAACAGATAGAAGGGGGGGGGAGGACAGGTGCAGGGGTACCCCAGGAAGGGGAGGCGGGGGGCGAAGAGGGAGGGGGAGAAGAAGCAAGCAGGGGAGACAGGATGGAGGGAACAAAGCGAGAAGGGAAGAGAGGGGGGGGCAGCAAAGGAGACAGAGGAGGACAGCAAGGGAAGGGAGGGGAGACGAGGAGGAGGGAGGGGAGCCAAGAGGGAGAAAGGCAGGGGAGAAGAGAAGGAGAGGAGAGAACAAACAGCAGGAGGGGAAGCAGAGATAGGGAAGGAGACGGAGACGAGGCCGCAGAGAAGCATGGAAGGACAGGGACCAAAAGAGCCAGGTCGAGCAGAACAGAAAAAGGGAGGGTAGATTGCAGAGGCAGGGACAGGAGGCAACCGAACAGGAGAAGAGGGAATAAAAGGAAGGCAAAAGGACAGGCAGGGAGCAGAGGGAGGAAGAAGGAAAGGAGGACGAGGTGAAGCAGGGGACAGAAAAAAAGCAAGGAGAAGAAGAGAGGAACACAACGCGAAGGTAGCAGGAGGGAACACCAGAAGAGGGGGATAGAAGAGAGAAGGTGACAGAGAGGACGAAAGAGGGGAGGCACAGGCAGGCAGGACATAGGCAACGAGGAGAGAGTGGAGACAGGAGGGTAAAAGCAACGGAAGGAGGAGGGAAAGAGAGACAGACAGCAAAAGAGAGAAAGGTAGAAGGAAGGAAAGGGGAGAGGGAGAGGATACAGGCAGAAAAGAAGCATACAGAAAAACAGGTAGAGAGGTTAGAATGCAGCGGAGCATGAGGAGGACAGGGCGGCAGCAGGCAGGGCAGCGGAAGGCAGCAGCCAGGAGAGCAGCCAGCAGAAGGAGGGAGAAGATAGAGAGGAAACAGGGGCAAGCAGGACAGAAGATGGGAGGGGAGGAGCAGAGAAAGGGGTGGGGAAGGACGGGAGGAAGCAGAGCCCAACAGCAGGGGGGCAAGAGGCAGAGATGGGGACAGGGGAGGGAGGAAGGGGAGAGGGAAGTGGCGAAGGAAGAACAGCAGGCAGAGAGGGACAGGGGGCAAGGGGGAGAAGAGGCCGGAGCGGGGAAGGAGGAGTGGGGAGAAAGGAGAGAGAGACGGGCAGGGGGAGGGGGAGGAGAAGAAGCAGGAGGGGAAGCGGAGCAGAGATGGGAGAGGGACAGAGGAGATGAGAGGAGGAGAGAGGGAGGGGGAAGGGACGAAGAGAAGGTCGGGGGGGAGGGGGGGGGAAGGGAGACAGGGAATAGGGAGGAAGGGGGGAGAGAGAGCCAGGGACAGAGGAGAGAAGGAAGAGGAAGAGGGGAGAAGAGACAGGGAGCAGAAAGGGAAAGTGGGACGGAACCAGGAAGCGGGACAGGGGGGGAGAAGGAAGGCACACACAAGAGCACGCAGGCAGAGGGACAAGGCAAGAAGGCAAAAAGGAGAAGACGGGAAGAGAAGGCAAGACCCAGGAACGGGGAAGGGGGGAAGGAATGAAGGGAGGAGAAATGAGGAAGATAAGGGAAGAAAGGAAGGCCAGCAGGCAAAGGCCAGAGGAGGGTGGGGAGGTGAAGGAGGAAGGGAGGTACCAGAGGGGCGAGGGAGAGAAGGGAAGGGGGAACACAAAAGACACCAGGGGAGTACGGGGGAACAGGGTGCAGGGCAGGCGGAAAGACAAAGTGGACAGAGAGAAGGAGGAAACGAAAACATTACAGGAGCAAGGAGGGGAAGGCAGAAGCAACGAAAGGGAGAGGGGCAGAGAGAAGGGGAGGGGAAGGAAGAGGGAAGAGAGGGAGGAGGAGGAAGAGGGGAAAAAGGAGGAGGGGAAGAATAGAGTAAGGAGGAGGAGTATCAAGGGCACGGGAAAAACGATGTCAAGAGTGAGAGGTTTAAGGAGTGAGTAAGTATTTATAGAATAATGTGACTAGATACAGATCATTAATTTGATATTTTTAATATCCATAATATAGTTCACATAGTTTGGTCTAGCAATAAAGATTCTATAATTAAAATATTATGAAATATATTTAAAATCTTTATTCAGTATTACCATCCTTTTGATTATTT